AAGTTTATTCAGTTTGATATGGCTGCAATAATTGTGTTGATCAGCAGGTGGCAGTATAATGCAGTGTTCCAGCTGGTTGTCTGTGTGTCTACAGGTAAAGAGCCACTGGAGGCTGCAGTAACATTGCATTTGCATCTAGATGTGGGAGTGTTTGTCTGGAAGGAATAATTATATTGAGTCATTTTATGCAAACTGTTTACCGCTTATACCCAACAACAACAATGGCCATTTATAAGTAAATTGTTATTCCATTGTTTAACATTTCACTCTTTACAAATGTGACTATGGGTGAGTTCTCTAAAATCTTTTATTTGCTCCTTGCCTGTTTTTTAATAAGACAGACTCTGTAAACTTTAGGTAGATCATTTTACTCAGTGCTACATCCCTCACCCTGTTTTGCATAAAAACAAATTTATGCATTCTCTTTCCTATTTTAAGTGCATGAACAAGAATTGACTGACCTGCACTCTACAGCTTGCCAACACTCATGTGAAGAGGAAACCTGCAGCAGAGACTGTACACTTTTTGCAAGAGAGAATCACTTCTCTGTGTGAGATGAGTGACAGCACACACAGAGTGCTGTCAGTAACATTTGCAAGTCAATGCTCAGATTTAACCTCTTCACTCTCCCCTCGGTGCGGATCGACTGTCTGAATTCAAAATCAACCTCTGAAAAGATGTTATTTTTCTCTTTTGGCCCTTAAAAAAGAATGTGAGAATATGAGCCATGGCATTGACCTTGTCTAGCAATTCCACCGGTACATACAAAGTTATCTTTTTGCAACAAGATACCATGAGGAAACTGAATTTTCTGAAAAGTCTTCTTGTTTCATCATTACCTCTGTGAGCATACACTGCCACTTTTGAATTTCATGGCCAAATTGTGCAAGCTGGTACAATCATAGATACAAGTCAGAAAGATCTTATTCAACTTCACTGCAAAAAGACACAAATCACTCCATTGTTCTGTTTTGTAAAGAAAAAAATGCCAGTGAGGAGGAGAAACATGCATTTCCTCTTCCTGATGTATGAACAGGTTATGAGGAAAACAATATCCTAGTTGCAAAAAGTATTTAGTGAATACCGTAGAAGCAGGTGATTCCATATTGATCGCTTCAGAGTGGTGTTATGTGGTCTAAGTACTGGAGGAGACGAGTGGGGAAACAATGTGCAGCACTGGAATTCCCGAGGTCCCACATACACATGCCTGTGGACCCGTGTCTGTTTTATGTGTGCGTATGTGTGTCACAGAGGGTATTTATTTGTATCTGCCTGCAAGGTGGAGAGGAGAGGAGGTGTGTGTGTGAGTGACTATGTGTGTGCGTGTGCATGTGAGCATGTGGCTGCTGCTGATGTGGGTCATTACCCCCTATTTCCCCCAGGGGCCATGCAGCAGGAGAGGACAGGAGGGGGTGGATGGAGGCTTGGGGGCAGAGGGGGGATGGGAAAAATGGAGGGTGGTGAAGAGGAGGGAGGGGCTGTGATTGTGTGTGTGTGTGTGCGCGCACCGTGGGGGGGAGGGGGCGTCCCAGAAGACTAGAGTCCAATAAATCACTGTGCCATCTCTGCACTGAGTTCCAGTTTGTCTGATTAAGGACAGGGGAGGGGGTGGGAGCAAAGTGAGGTGGTGGTGAGGGGTGAAGGTGGGTGGAGGTAGGTGGAGGCAGGTGGAGGTAGGTGGAGGTGGCGTGCGTGACAACACTGTGGCCTCGTCTTCCCTCTGTGTGCCCACACAGAGCAGGAGTCATTTTTGACCCCATCCCCAAGGCAAAGAGGAGGTTGTTAGGACAGTGAGGAGTGCGGAGCAAATAGTGATGCCACAAAACCAAAAGCTTCTGACAAAGCACCTTCCTCTACAATCATCCTTTTTCTTATGGGATCCAATTTTTAAAAAAGGCCTGTGTCTACTGTTGAGTTATACGTAGTTGAACTAAAGGGAAAATCTACTCATTTATCTTGGAGTTCATTGATTTCGGGATCATTAATTGAGCATATTTTGAAATAAAACACTGTAATTTTTACCCACATTGATTCGACAACTTCAAGATCAGTTGGTAATCCTCTTCATTTGCCAGAACTTTCAATATTTTCAAGGAATATTTGTACTTTCTTTTTTTTATAGCCTATTAGGTTGTACCATTTAATTTATCCTAATTACTTTAATTCAGTTTTCATATTCTATTTTAGTTTCTATGGGCATTCAATATCAATAAACACTTTGACCTTGGCCTATTAGGTGAGAGAGAAACAGTATTTTGATTTTTCTGTATGTCCTGCACATATAGTGAATTGAAAGTCAAATCTTTGCTCTCTCTTGATCTCTTGAAAGATGAAGGAACTTGTTGCATGCTGGTGGTGAGAATGAATGACAATAAATAATAGAACATGGGCTTTTCCATGTCGAGGAAACATGTAGCCTCCACACTCTTGTGGTTTCAGTGCTTTGTGGCCTGCTATTTCAGGTTTCCCTGCTGCGTCTATGAATAATTCTTACTAGTACAATTGTGCCAAATTGTGGGTCCAGAATGAAGGTCCTTCCTTTTGATTCTAAAGGATTTTCTCCAAATCCTGACGTTTGCTGCTGATTTTTCACATAGCTGAACATTTTTCACCTGACAAACTGTATGGTACAAGTAGCTCTAGTGCTCTGAAGTGGTGTGAGGTCTTCTAGATTTGGCTTTTCATCACTGAAATTGAAAAATACTCAACCTAACAACAGGGAGGGGGGAACAAAATGCATTGAGCTTCAGAAGCACTGTTCATTTTGACAGATTTTTCTTTTGATCTGTAATTTTAGACCTTCTTCACCTTGCAGCTTTGTCTTTGAATGGATTTTAAGTATACAGTCCCACAGGAGACCGCATCAGACAGATGACGCTTATTGATCGAAGCAAAGCATTGTAATAGCGTTCTCATCATGCTGCCTTCCAGTAAACAAAAGACACATCTAAAAACTGTTGGTTCATCTTCTTTACATGACGTGTGTCCAGCAGCCCTTGTCCAGTGTTATTAGGGCGTCATTTTGTGCTAATATTAAACTCACAGTTTGACACTGATATTGCTGTTAGCAACCACAAAGGAACGAAGTAGTCTCTGAAGTTTCCTGGGAAGTGAACTTGTTTTCATCACCTTTTAAAACCACTCCCTCCTGATTGTTTTGCTGCTTGGTGATCACTTTCCTGCTGTATAAATAATTGGAATTTTGTCTTTCTCTGCTGCCCTCTGTCCTTGCCTTAAGCTGTGATTATAAAGGGAGGCTGCTGCTCCCTTGGGTACTTTCCACTGTTTTGCCCTTTGAGATAGGTGTGCATAGGTGAGCATGTCTCTGCTTACACTCAGCATACATGTGTTTGGCAGAATAGTCTCTTTACAACCTTCCACTACTGGGCTAAAACCTAAAGCTCCTAAAGCATTATGACCACTGAGTCCTCTCCCATTGTGGGTCCACTTTGATGTCTCGTTGCTCTGAGCCTCTGTGGAGGAAAGAAGGGCAATGTGGACTTGGTGTATTTAATCACTGGAGCTCAGCCAGCCCACACACACACACACACACACACCTGGTGGCCTCCTTCATTTGACCTGCCAATAGCAATAATATTTGTCCTTCACTTATCATTTTTTATCATCTATATTATTATGCCTCCCCTCAGTAAAACACAATACAGCCTTATACATCCTGTGCACCCCCTGGCCACCTATCCCCGCCCCATCACCCATCCCAGCATGCATTTCTTCTTCAACACACACACACACACACACTAACCATCTCTGCAGACTGCAAAGCACTGCATTCCTCTTGACTTTTTTCTTCTTTTCTTTTTTTTTTTTTTTTAATAAATGTGATCCCAGAATCTGGGAGTGAGACCAGTACTGTGCATTAAAATTCATAGGGAAAATGGCAATAAAATCTTTCTTTCCCTCTCTCTCCCCCTCGTTCTCTCCTGTCCTCTCCACTCTCTACACTTGCTCCCCTCACCCTTCTGTCTTTTTCATTCCCTTACTTGTCTGCTCAACACGCACACACATGCACAAGCCACATGTACACACTTCTTTTTCATCACCCGTGTGCACTCTCCCTCTCGTTCAATCTCCAACCCTCCTACTGGCTCGTCTTTCTCAGCATCCCCCTGCTGTCCTTCATCCTTTATTCTCTTCCTCCTCCCTCCCTCCCCTCTGCCTTTCCTCTCTCAGTCTCTTTCTCACACACACACATACACACGTGCACACCCCCCGCCCACAGACATACATACTCTCACACAAACACACGCACACACACCCATCTATATTTCCCAACTCCACCTCTGGCAGGTTGTGATTTCCACTGTCAGAAATTGCTTTTTCAATATCTCCCTAATTATGAGCCCCACTAAAGGGGTCGTGCCACCAGAATACCAATTTTTCCACCATTTTTCCACCTCTTTTTTGGAATTATTCTCCTTTTCCAGGTAACAACAACGTGAACATTCAGTATATAGCCATGTAAGCACTGCAGCATTATCACTGTTGTATTTTTGCAGGGTTCTGGTGCCTTCTTGGGTTTTGATTTTGATTTAATCGGTCACTTCCCTGTGGTTATGATTAATTTTTGACATCAAGAAATTAACAGGCTGATACAGACGTAGGAGTACAGTCTCTTTATTTCCACATCAACGGGGAGAAGATTTAGGGGAATATAAAAGTTTTGGATGCAATGATGATTTCTGGGGAGCAAAAGGAAAACCACTGAATCTTGATACAGCCACCGCACAACTCCCAGCACTCTCAATCACCTCTGTGTACCCAGGAAAGAGTTAACCTCACAAAGCGGTTGTAGCCTGTGTGATTGACGCGCAGAGCATTGTGCTACCTATACTCTCCAATCAGCAACCGGTCAGCACACCCCACGTGGGTACTCTCAATACTCATTGGCTGCTCTTACCAGTGTTTACTGTACCTAGGCCGAGACCCACGTGGAGATTTCATTCAATCAGTGAACAATTCGCCCGAACCCTTCTTTCTTTTGCACATTTTATAAATGTAACGTTTCTTAATGGTGTGGACAGATTTTCTATTACATGGGGGAGGGTGGGGGAGAACCTAATCACAGTGCTACCCTGACAGGAGAGGATATCTAGCAGGTTTCTTTGGAAATATCATCAGGCTATTTGTTGAACAGCATTGTGTCAATGCTCGATGCTCTGATTGGGTCTTTATTTATGACTTAGACGGGATTAAATTGTTTTTCTGTTGAAGGAAAGATACCGAGCCATCGTATTAGCTGTGATAAAACAAACCGTGGGGGGAAAGCAGCATACAGTGTCTTTAGGTCTTCCCCCTCTGTAAAGAAAGCTACTCATGTCCTGTCCCACTGAGGATCAGAGAAGGGGGGAGTCAGAGAAGTGAGGGACTGGGAGTGCTGTGTGAAAAGAGTGCAGGCCAACGAGCGAGACAAAAGGGGCTGCGGCTGCATTGAATGTGCTGGTGGCGTGTCCGTCTCCGAAGCCACAAGCAAACCACGTTTCACCTCCTCTGGCCTTTATGCTACAGAAAGAGAAAGCATATCAGAGAGGGAAGCCAACTGCAATATTGTAATTGGTGGAAGCGCGAAGTTGAGGACTTGGAAGAGAGCTCCTCTGGACCGGGTGTTTCTCCTCTCCTGTGCCCGTCCTTTCTACGCGTCGAGCGCGGTGCGGTGTAGTGTGGGGTTGGAAATATAACCCAGAACAAAGGAGACTTGAGGCAAGGAATGAGCGAGCACAGACTAGCTTTGCCACTATCTTTGAAACCAGGCCAAATGCCTCTCTGAGACGAACAATAGTACATCAGCTGCTTGTATTTCTCGACGAAGCTTTCCGCCCCAAAAGGGAGAAAGAAGAAGGACCAAAAAACGCACACGGAGACACACACGCGTCGGCGGCTACAATGTTTCCTCAGAACCGAGCACCGGTAAGTAGGCTACGCTACTATGTAACAGTCTACGCTTGTTTTACAATGTTATCGTCTCGTAACGTAAACCTTCATCAAATACAACGGGAATAAACAAATGCCAATTGATTTTCAGCCTCACTGAGCCAAAATAAGAAAGCGCAAGTCGAAATTGTTTGCCTTTGACATCCTTACAATGCATTTCCGGGGACTCCTTTGTGGACAATATATGATACCCTATATGCTGTGTATGTACAATATCATGTGTTTTTGGATTAAAGCACCGTGTAATCTGACTCATGAAGGTCAGGCAGATTGTTGTCGCTATGGGTTTAGTGAGGCAAAGCCCCCCTCAAACAACCTCCAACTTTGCTAAGTGTCTTTGTGTGTGAATCTCATGTCCTTGGTGGCTGCACCACCTTCAGATTAGAAACATGGAGCCTCCTTCTATCTCCACATGGAGTTGACCTAGATGCTGAAGTGTGTTTGTCCCTTTCCTAGCAGGCTGTGAAGAGGGAGTCAGCTTGTGTTGTTGACACCTTCACTCAATGGTCTGCAATTCTCAAGTGCCACTTAACTGTTTTCACAAATTCTGCTCTTGCTTTTCATTTCTTTTCCATCATATTGTGGGTGATTCATGCTCCTGATTTACAGATTTCTTTGACTGACAACTACAAGTTGCCAGCTTACCATTATTGCCAGAAGTCCTCTATGGGGTTGTAAGAATGAAACAGAAATTGGCACACTGTCTGCAAAATTCATGCTGCATGGCTTTAATTTGTTTTAGTTGAGTTAGGTGGAGAGCTTTTGAGCCCACTGAAATGTATAAACACTGGTCCTCCAGCTGTGTGAAGTATCAATTAAGACCTGCTCATTTGCCTAACCCTCATCTACGTTGCTCAGCCATGCCATCCTGCACCCCACCTCTCAGTGTTTTGTCATTCACGTCCCATCTACTGAAACCAGATTTAACACAATGTGATGTGCAGTTCAGACCCATAAGATGCATTGTTTTCATTTTTGAAGCTTATGTTTGTATAATGCTTCAGTTGTCCTACCATCATGCCTTGTAACTTCTACTTCCTTTGAGCGATAAAGGGATCTTATGAGTCTCCTGTATCCAGACGTACAACACGCATACACCAGCAGCTGTGTGTGTAGTATAGCTGACTGCAGGAAGCTAGGGTAGGAGGCAGACTGTGGGTCTGTGGTTTGCATTGTAAACCCAAACCCTCTCATCCAGCCTCTCCTTGCTGTGTTCCTGTGAGAGCCCCAAACCACATCTTAATGTATGGGTAGGCATCCCGGGGTGAGAGGAGTACACTGCGGTGGGTCTGGGTGGGATGTTTAGTTTGAAGCCTCCACAGATCTCAGCAGTGCCATGTGTGGCACCCGTCCTCATAAAGTGTTCAGCCATCGTTAGCTCTTGTTTGCACATTGGAGTTAAGGGCCACTCAACCCGGCATACTGTTTTAATCTCTGAAACGCAAGGCTGGCGTTAACCTGTCATCACTGTAGGCTGCTCTGCTGCGTAAGATGTGATCGATATATACACATAGCCCATATATGCTTATCTTCTAGCAGATGATTATCAATTGACCTAGATTCATTTTCCATTCATGTGTCTGATCCTTAACAACAAATTTTGCCGTTGGTAACTGACTGCCAGATAGCATGAAATTTAACCTGCATGTTTATAGCTGTCTACAACCAGTCTTCTTTCCTGATTCCTCATGTAAATTGCATGGTATTCACCTGTTTCAAAATTTTAAAAACCTTTTACAGGGTAAAGATACATTCATGTGACATACTTTCTATAGTGTAAAGTGCAACAGAAAAATTAAAATGTTTATATTTTTAATCACACATCTAGTATATTATATGGGCTGGTTAAATACAGTACACACCTACGTTTAACTTCTCATCAGAGGTTAAAAATCTGTGGTGTCCAAACTATATAAACATAGAAATATTCTGGAAGATGTGTTTGGTCCTTGTATTTGACCAGATGGTTTTGCTATAGTTGACGGGGGCGGCTGTGGCCAAGGAGGTTGAGCCGTCGTTCCCGTTCTCCTCAATCCGCATGTCAGTGTCCTTGGGCATGACGCTGAACCCCAAGTTGCTCCCGATGGTCAGAGCAGTGCCTTGCAGGGGCAGTGCCACCATCGGGGTGTGTGTGTGTGTGTGTGTGTGTGTGTGTGTGTGTGTGTGTGTGTGTGAGAGAGAGTTGGCAAGTTGGCTGCTGCGGTTCTACAAATTCCTGTGTGTGTGTGTGTGTGTGTGACATACTTGGCCAATAAAAGTGATTATCATTAGTTGAGAAGTGTATAGCACATGGCAGGCATGGGTGGCTGTCTTATATCATCAGTGTTTTTTTCAAATCTGCTGCAGTGACAGAAGCTTACAAGGCTAGGCTGTAGACGCAAGCAGGAAGTAATAGGAAGGAAAGCAGAACATCAAAGCAGAATATAAAATTGTATTGAAATTGGAAACTAACAATTTGTCATTTCAGCCTGAAATTATACCAGTCCCATTACTATATACAATACACATTAACCCACTTGAAATGACAAACTAAATGCACTTAGATAATGCACTTAGATGATGATTCTTTTGGGGTGAAAAGTAGTTTTAAAGAACTCTGTCTTGACCTGGTTTGTAACAATTTTTTCTTAATGATCAAAGACATCCATGTCTCTCAAAGGTCCCACTAAGGTTGGTAATATTTTCAGCTTCTCTCTTTCAACCATTTTCAAAAAAAATCCCTGGATAGGGCTGGGGGTTCCTTAAGAGGGGTACTATTAGGTGCTTTTGGATCAGAGGAACTTTTCATGGTTCGTAGAACTACAGGACACCCCTTTCTTGTGTGTCCACACACAGGAAATGAGAATGATAATAGTTCTTAGGACACCGTTTTGAGCCCTTTTTAGCCCTTACTTCAGGGCAGGTATTCTCCAGGCACAATAGGAACCATAAGTGACGTAGTGTACGCTGAGTGCAGTGCCACTAAAAACCTTGTAAACAGTAGCGATCAATAGCCAGTAGCATGAAGAGCTGCAGTCCTTATATAATGAACATTAGCAACATATAAAGAAAATACGGTAATGTTGCGTTGCTGTGTGTTTAGCTTGTTAGCTAATCACCAGTAGTCGGCCATCTTAGTGTTGTACCACTTCAGCTTTCTTCTAAAGGTTTGAATGTAAACAGAAAAAAGCCTGTGAAGGTATTGTGGTTCTTGGGGGTGCTCCCTAGTGGGGTTGTTCCTAGAACTAAGTCCCTACAACCGTCTGGTCTGAAAGCCCCTATTGTGGGTGAGGAGTTATTTTCCTTCAGTGTTTTCCGTACTCCTCCTCTATAGGCATCTATCACTGGGATAAATGAGCTTTTCCCAAATGCTGGTCTTATTTAAAAATTAATATTAGGGATGCACATTTTCTGACAGATAATGATGCTTGTTAACCAACAAGAATAAAATGGTCTGCTATATAGAAAGGAGGAATGTCTTTGATCTGTTAAAAAAAATATTTTTACATGTGCATATAAGGCATAAACATCAACAGAGCACATCGTCATGTCACACACCTGTGGAAGTGTGAACAGAGTAAAACAGCCTAGTAAAAAAGCTTGTGTGTGCTGATGACCTGAAGCAGCTTGTGTTACTTTAGAGCGGGTGATACCGAATTAGATGTGGACCATGAATGTTACCTTCTTTCAAAGTAAAATGGACAAAAACCTCTCCTTCACTCTCGGCTTAATCAAACCCCCCAAAAAGTTAAGAAAATGGAAACTTATAGCCTACTGGTTTTTGTTCAGAAATAGTAACGTGAACGTGCTGTGGGGTTAGTCTGTTTACTGTGAGACCTGCAGTGGAGAATACCTGGTCCATTGGTACCGATGTTCCAGAAATGCAAAAATGGTGCCTCACTTGTGCCCAGCCTGGGGAAGCCTGTTTGCTGGGGTAGAGTGTCTGATTAGCTTTACACCACGGCCCCCATCAGCTTATATGTTGGCCCTATAGCATATTTTTTTATCAAACAAACTTTTTTTTAAAGTCGTTTTAATTGATGGTATTAATTGATTGGACTTCTTGTTGTCGAGTAACAGTTAAATGGTTAAGTATCCCTAAATAAACCTCATTCAAGGTTTTTTTTTTTTTTTTTTGTAGTTTCAGCTTCTTGGTACATTACAGACTCTGGTGCTTTACTTAAATATACAAGTGGTTGGTGTCACCAAAGCTGTTTCAGTATGTTATCCAAAATCGGTCCGTAAAAGACTTTTGTGAGGGGTGCGCTCGTGTATCAGGGCCTCTCTGTGCAGCCTCCTCACTCCTCAGAACAGGAATAAGAGCTTTGACATGTCCTTCAAGAGATGGTGGACTGGAATGACTTCTGGGTTAAGCAAGGACTGATAAAATAAGGGAATGGGGATTTACCTTGTTGTATTGTCACTGTACACATCATTGCAGTGGCCATTAGCCAGCACAAAATGCTTTTGCATGTGTGGGCTTCCTGACCCTACGATTTACACCGCTTCCCGCTAAGTGGTATTGTAGGGTTTGTGCTTGCTTGGAGCAGAGAGGGCAGCACAACACATCATAATGAGATACAAAGATGCTAGATATGTTTTCTGCATCCTTATCATAGATCATGTTTTAGGAGTCAAATTTTATACAAAGATACCTTCTTTGGGAATAGAATGCAAATGTCAACAGTGAGGTGGTAAATTAAAGCTACAGTATGTAACTTTTTCAAATAATTAAGTTGCAGAAATCTGCTCCAGACCTTTCCTTAATGTGGAGAGGTTCTGTCGAAGCCTCCTGTGACCGACTCATTGAACAGCACTGACAGCAGTGCAGACATATTAGCTTTTAAAAGGTTTTGAGCTGGATTGACCTCTCTAACCAATTAGAGCTTTTCACCTATTTCTGCTTGATCAGCAAGTTTTGTTGCATTCCTATTTAATTTAATTTCATAAATGATGAAGAGCTGGGCAGAGTGTAGCAGACATAGTGGAGCAGGGAG